TATATCACGTGGATACTGTAGATTTTACAAACATAAAACCTGGTGAAACTTATTGTTTATTGAAATTTAACAGTTTTACATTCCGCATTCTTTTCTTCGGTGGATGTGCGGGTGGTGTAATGTACAGAGTCTCGGTATGAGAAATCAGAGAGCCGATTTCGAATTCCACTCGGGTTCTTTATATTCGCTTACGCGCAAAGACCATGGGGAAAGCTATGAATACATCTTCCCCCAGCTATGAGTTAAATAGTGAGACTGGGAAAATCATTGTTATTTTAAAACACTGTTAATGGAATATTTACTCTGTTAATATACTAGCAATTTTTTTATACCTACTTGATTCTGCAATTCGAACCTGCTACCTTTGGTTGTCACACTTGTTCTTTTCATATAGTTTACGGTTTATCTTTTCTCCGTGCTTTTCTTCGCTACCTTCTAGAGAAATTATTGTATTTTTCCTTCTGAATCTACCAATAGCACAGTATCTAATGGTATTGAGATAGTGGCGCCAGTTGTAAGTCGGTTGCAGTGGATAATTGAGGAAGGATATCGGGTCCGAAAACAAAGTCACCACAGCCCGTGTATCATTATTCTGATTATAAAATTGGCGCCAAACTGGGGTTAACGCACAGAAAACTCATATAAAGATAACGGTCAAGCAGAACTCAAACGCCATTGGCTGGGGGTAACGTGACCAAAACATATAAAAATACAGTACCACCTAACACTCAAAATATGCCAACATCAAAATGGAGGCGAAGTTTGTAAAAGCCTTTTGCTGCAAAGTCCGATCAGCTTACGTCGCTTGGGAAAGAGAATACGATGTTGAGAGACTCGAAATTCTCGATGTCTCCCTTCTGTTCATCGAGAAGATGTATTTTTTGCGAAATATGTGTGTGTGTGTGTGCGCGCGGGCTCGCTCACCCGCATGGCCGCGCGGCGGGCGTGTTTGTGTTTGCGTGCATGTATCGGAAACTAAGTGTAGCTTAACCTCTAAAAATCCATAAGGATCAAATTCATGACATTCGTGAACAGGTCCTTGATATGGGCTTACTGATCATCGCTCCACTGTAGGCGCGCATATATATATATATATATATATATATATATATATGTGTATATGTGTGTGTGTGTGTGTGTGTGTGTGTTTGTGTGTGTGTGTGTGTCACAAAATTCCCTGTGAACGGCGGCCAACCGCAACTAAAACTTTCATGAGTCCTCACGCAATCATCAGGATGGTTGGCAACAGAGTTAATTAAGGTTCCGCCCGTTAATATGGCATTCTGCTCTGTTTCTTTGGTGTGCAAATTCCTTTAGGAGTTGTTTATTTTATGTATATACAGGGTACAATGGATAAATTGTCGTCTAAATTACGCAAAAATTTAAATAACACTGACATTTCCTTTTAACAGATATATTTACCAAAAATGACACCATCTTGAAATACTAAAGAATAAATATATTCAATAAAATCGCCATTGGCTGTAACCACGGCCTCTTCGGAATCTCCTGCAACTCTTCTGGACGGTCTCTTTGTTTAACTTCGTGAATGCTGCCATAATTCTTGCCTTCAGTTCATCTTTGGTGTTACAAGGAGTTTTGTTAGTCTCTCGCTCAACAGTGTCCCACACATAATAATCAAGGAGGTTGCGGTCTAGGCTTCTCCTTGTGTGGCATAGTGCAGAGTCCTGTTAACCAGACATCCGGTCTTCCAACAGCCACTCTCTTCGCCCAGTCATGGCACTTTCTGTGGGCCTCTCTATAGAGTCTGAGGGCCTGTGAGAAGATGAATGTTACCAACACTAATGATAATTCCAAACACCTTTGTAATCTCCGTTAGACTAATAGAACTCTTTCATAATACTTTGCACTGACACCCAAACACTCTGAAACGTTTATATGAAGCTTCCGGGGCAAATGCTAAGCAGTACAGCATGCCGTTTCTAAATTTCTATCAGAGTGAATTGAGTCAAGGTTCTCTTTTTTCACAGACGATACCCAGCTGACCCTACGATACTGTGCAGTCGACACAACCAAAAACAAAAAACGCGCATGCGCGAAATTAAAAATACAAAATAGCGATAATTTACCCATCGCACACTGTCTATATGCTGGTGTGTGTGCTTTTAGAAAGAGAAAGACTGGCCTATATATTTTTTCAGGAATAAGAACCTATAATTTCGAAATAAAAGTTTTTCACAAATCAAGTTTAAATTACAACAGTGTTTTTTTTTTTTCATTTCCCTTTTCATATATTTTCATTTTTACTGTGTGACTAAACAAATCATTAGTTTATATAGGTATGCATCTGTGTATAATAGATAGGTAGATAGATAGATGCGCCCTATCTCCATTATTATTTGACCTAGTATGAGTCAAACGTGAAAGTAGGTAGTCTACTATGAAGTCTAGCCTATTGTTTTGTTACTAAAATTTATGGTCGTTGTACACGCAAAGCACAAAATGACCACCTACGAAATCGATACAGATTAAATAAGAACCTCGATATGAGTAGAAGAAATGTCACCAAAAACCAAGCGAGCGAAAAGAACCAACCTTCGAGAAGTTTTTTTTTTTTTTTATCGTATTGTAGATTTTACAAGTAAACAAATATAATCAGAGTAATGATGCCTGATTTTTTTATGCTAAAGTTCCCCCAAAAGCAAGGTAAGTTATTGTTGAATCGGTTATAATGAATGTAATGTATGATATGAACTCAAGTGGAGCTTATAGGGGATTATAGATTAGTAGTATAAGGAAGATAGCTATTGATTAATCCTAGACTTGAAGTGATTAAGACTGTAGCGTTCGGGAAAGCACCCGCGCAGGAAACTATTTTGGGGGAAAAAAAAGTCGCAATTCTTGGAAAAATATCTGTGAGTAGAAGTTACTCTTTACAATTTGGAATACGGGGAAAATGAGAATGATTCAACTCCGTGGGTCTAACGATTTTTAACTGAAAAGTAAGCATTTCAGATATGGCAGCAAACCATTATCTGTGGTTTAATTTGATTCTTTCAATCATTACGGAAAGAGTCGGGTAATTTCTGAAATGTTACAAGAAGACGATTGTTTTTTGTTTCTTTGTTTTGTTTTGTCTTTTTTCTTTTTTTTTTTTTCTAAAATCATTAGCTATATTAGATCGCATATATAAGTTCCACGTGAGGTCAGGAATGAACTTGAGACCGAACAGACATTCAAAACATGGCGCCACATTGAGAAAGCAGACGTTTATCATGAGTGGAGAAAACTCTGAAATTGCATCTGAATGAAAAGTTGAAGATAATATCTCGTCTCAAACAAAAACGCCGCACAGACTATTTTGAACCCACTGAAGATTTAAAAGTGAGGTTTGGACAGTTTCACCCTAGATTTGGAAGGAATAGTCCATTTTGTTGAAAGCTGATTGTTGCAACTTTTAAAGATGGCAGAAAGATCGAAGTGCTTTCCGGAGTGATAGAAAAACCGACCATTTTTCTAGTTTCTTTAGCATGTTATATATGAAATCCATGTGAGGCCAGGATTGGATTTGGGACCAAATAGACGTTCAAAGTATGGAGCTTCATTGAAAATACAACGATTCCTCGCAACTGAAGAAAAGTCAGTCGATATATCAATGTGCTTATCGGCCTAAGAAACACACAGAAAAATTGCCACTGACAAGACAGGACGAAAGAAAATATGCTAAAAGAAAATGCAGAGAATAAAAATCTGTAAAAATGATTAAAATAGAAAAAAAAAATAATGAACAAACAAAACAATTTTAACTCATAAAGAATGAAAAAAACTTGTCACACAGGTTTGGAAATAATCAATTTTCCATCAACAAGAGAGAAGCTGTTTTTTTTAGATTTTACAAGCATTTCAGTATTATATATGTAACTTTCTGGCATCAAACGAGTTTACTTTCCCGATTGAACTTCTTCTTTTGTGTCGTGTCGCTTCATGACTTAGTTTGTACCCCCACAACTTCCTACCTTATATAACAAGGGCTGGCAACCTACGGTACACGTGGCACGCCAAGTAATTCCCAATGGCACGCCAAGTAATTCCCAATGGCACGCCAAGTAATTCCCAATGGCACGCCAAGTAATTCCCAATGGCACGCTGCTGCAAATGACATCACGAAGTCCGAACCAATAACTATTACAACACAAAGATAATTAGCTGTTTCCCAAGACCTAATAATCAATAATTCTAATGGTACGCTGCGTTGGCATCACGAAGTCCCCAATAATAATAAAACAAAGATAATTAACTTTTAAAAACACTTATTTTATAATTTTTTTTTCTCCAGAATCTATCTTACATATCTATAAGTCTACCATACTTAGAATATTGCTGCCACATATGGTCCAGTGCCTCCCTATTTACTTTAGCTCCTTTATAAAATCCAAATAATCAACAATATTATTGATCCTGATCTGACATCTCGGCTTCAGTCACTTTCCAATCGCCGTAAAGTTGTCTCCCTGTGTCTTTTCTATAAATACTTTCATGGTAATTGTTTGGATGAACTCAACGCTATGGTACCTAGACATTTTTTTTAAATTTAAGTGCAGTACTAAACTGGAGTCGAGATCTCATCAATTTACAAGATGTAGCTGTAAGTTCTATGCTAACAGTTTCTTGTCCTGCATTTATCGTTTGTGAAACTCCCTTCCGGTCCCATGCTTTGCAGCCAACTTTAATCTCCAAAAATTTTGATGCAATGCCAATCGCTATTTACTGTCTTTCTGATTACTCTTTTGTCTACCAGTTCATTATTAATGTTTCTGTTCCTAATTCTTCCACGCCCAATAACTTCTTGTGCCTTAGTGGCTATACTGCTTCGCTTGGATTCATTTAATTCGTTTTCACACACAAGCCACGTTCTGTTGTTGTTATGATTCATGACGTTTGCTAGGATAAAGACTCGGCTAGAAGAGTGTGTGAATGCCGGGACAAACAGTTTGAACATTTGAGGGATTGATATGTTTATTATTGATATGTTATTATTG